GTAATGTATATTTTATGTAATATTAACGCAACATTTTATTTTATTGCGCTTCGAAATATGCATTCAATTGATATAAATACGCATACGTATGCGCAACAAAATTGTGCATTTAATATAAAAATCTCGTATAATTGTGTGATAAAAGTTGTTTGTGTGAATGATAGTATATCACTGTGTTTGATTATCAGTGTGTATGTATATTCAAGTAAATTAGAAGTAATTAATAAGATGTAAAGCCTTTTTCTAATCGTTTTTCTTATCGATGATAAGAAGAGCTCATACTTACATTTACATGCAAACTACACTGAATTCATATAAAAAAATATATTCTTTCGCGACTAGATAGAAAATTAATAATGGCTTAATTGCATTAATAACGCTGTTATTATCGCGCGATGCTTGGTATAGAAAGAAGAATGATATGCTAACTGTTGAATATCAAGATATCTAAAGTTGATTAAAAAGTAATAATTAGAGTTATGAAATACTACAAAGAGATGCATAGGTATCTGTGGCAATGTATGTAAAAGACGATTTATATCACGTATAGAAAGAAGTACTAATATATAAATTATTCGATATTATTTATGCCAATAATAATCATGACAATAAAAAATAAGTGAATATTATTTACGATAAAGATTACAAACTTGAAAAATATTTTAAAAGCATAATTTTATGCTCACATTATAAGCGTGATTAAAAAATACAACTTATTTTTACGCTTTAATTGTATTATATTCCGCACTCGATAGCCGAAACTAATCATCATAGATCTGTATGATATAGACATATGTTAATTAGCTTCTAAAGCCAAAATTTACATATGCCGAGTATTTCCGAAACCACCATGGCCGGATTGAGTTGCACCCTTGTTATAACCCATCTGAAGATTTACTTGACCTTCACTAGCACGAAGCTGTTCCTCGGTGAAGGTTCTCTTATTCTCATCCGCCATTTTCGGTCCTAAGCTTGGCCCATTCCAGTCGTGCTTTTGAGTCTATCATTGAATCAGTTAAATTTCATAGTTAATTATTGTAATCAAAGTAACAAGTAAACTTTAAATAAGTATTCGGCTATGTATTAATTTATAATGACGTCGCTTTTATTAAATATCAAATAATTTTAATTTTGTTAAGTTGTATTATTTTATACATTTTAGAATACTATCTAATATTTTTTATCGTGCAAATTTTCTTTGTTTTTCACATTTTTCTCGTAAATATATTTAAAAATAATAGATATAATAATG